TTCTCAACCCTGCGGAGCTCAAGGCCGTCTGACCATCGTGTCGCTTCCTGGATCTCCTACCAGCGCACCCGCAGTAGTTAACGGAAACGGCAAGGCATGGGCGTACCAGGGGTGTTATCAGTAAGTCTTCTCTCACTTGTATCCTAGCATCTCCATTCTACAAAAACACACTGACGGATCCTTCGTCCAGTGATTCTCAGACTGCCAAGGTATTCCCATACCGAGCGATAGTGGACACTCGGTTCTTCACGCTGGAGGTCTGCGCGGACGCCTGCGGCAGAGCTGGCTTTCACTACGCAGGTGTCGAGTACAGGGACGAATGCTGTGAGTTCTCATATTTCCTCTCTTCTTCTTTTTTGTTGTTTCCCCCTTTGACGCGGACCGTTTTAGGGTGCGGTACTGCCTCACAATTGGAAGGCGTTGTCAAAGGGCCGAACGACGACTGTGGAATGGCTTGCATCTATAATTACTTTGAGCGTTGCGGGAACGCGGATAGGATGTCGGTGTATAAAGTGACTTAAGCACCAATAAATATCATCTTATTACGAGTCCTGAACGCCTGACCACGAATCATCGATGGGTTTGAAGAGGGTGATGGAGGCGGATGTCGTTGCTGGCGGACGGAGGCTTTCGATGTGAGATATCAACATTCTGCGAATCACCCTTAAGCGCTCATGACCTTGCTCTTGACCTTTCGCTAATCATGCATTTCCTTAACTGACACAGTTGTCGAGCCAGCTATGAAAAAACATATCCGAACGATAGCTTCACAATCCTCTCGAAAATCATAAGTCTATTAAGCTATACTCTACGTTCTATCTACAAGCAACAACCGCACACCTCTACACAAGGCCAACACATAACACAAGTTCAACGTGACACAACATAAAGTGATAGAACGCAATACAGTATTGGAAACAATGGTATAAAAGACAAGGTAATGATAAGAATAATGTGCAAATACGCTTGATTAGGATGGGAGAAGGGAAGGAAATGAGAGAGGGTATCGCAAATGTGAATATGTAGATCGGAGGGCTCCAGAAAACAAAGTGGGACGCGCGTCTGTTCGACACGGCGGGTGGATCTCCTCCGACCATCCAGTCAAGAATATGTGTATCGGTCGGGGGGCGGGGGCGGGGGGCAGGGACGAACGAAGAACCAAGGCGTCCTTGCGACCCATGTGGGTATAGTCGGGGCGGCACCGGGGGCGCACAACGTCGCAAGGAAGGTCCTTCACACAACCTCCTGCCTCGCAATATCATCAATCCCATCCTGGTCCACCAGCACCCCAAACTCATCCACCTCCTCCTCCGCCTCCGCCAGCGCGAGCTCCATCTCCTCCTCCCCCATCTCTCCTCCCCCATCCACATCCGCCTCCACTTCCTCCACCTCCCACTCCTCCCCATCCAATAAAGCGGGAGACGCACGTCCATCAGAGCAGGGAACCTGCACCTCCCCATCCCCGCCCATCCACACGTCCCCCCACAGCTCAGACACCCGCGCACGTTTCCTCGGATCCCTAACGAGCAACCTCCCAACGACCCTCCGTGCCCCCTCGGACGCCGCCAACCGCGCCCCATCAGCTCCCCATCTCCCTCCCCAGCCGCGGACGCCTCCGGCCACTCATACTCCCCCCTTGCAATCCGCATCAACCACGCCCTCCTTGCCATCCGGCTCTCCACCCCCCTCCCCTCCCCCTCCCCTTCCCTTCCAATCCCCACCCCCACCCCCACCCCATTCCCACCAACCCCCTCCCCAAAAGGCAGCCGCCGCCCAACGAGCGCATACAGCACCACACCGCACGCCCACGCATCTGTCTCGCGCGCGTCGTACACACCCCGAGCGCCCCGTTTTTGTTGGACCCGGCTGCGGGTGCGGGTGACGCGTGTTCGGGGTGGAGGTGCTGTCCCGCCCGTGACGAGCTCGGGCGCGGCGTAGGCCTCGCTCCCACAGCGCGTGGAGAGGAGGGGGCCCTCGTCCTCTTCGTCTTCGTCTTCCTCCTCCTCAACTTCATCTTCGTCCTCTCCGGTGTGGCCATATAAATCCCGACTGGCCGCTTCTGGATCAACACCATTCGATGGCCTTTCAGGAGATGCAGCACGTCTCGCTGCCTTCCTCACCGCCCGGTCCCTCGCGCGTTCCTCCTCCGACCGGATATCGACGAACCGCGATAAGCCGAAGTCTGTGAGCTTGAGGAGTGGGGCGGCGGGGCGGGGAGGTCGTCGAGGGTTGGCGCGGGCGCATCGGGACGCTGGGACAGGGTGGTGTAGATTTCTGTGGTCAGGAGGATGTCTGCGTGCGGAAAAGAGGATCGCATCAGATACTATATATTATGAGTATCAAGGAAGGTAACTCACTCTCGAGCTTGATGTCGCGGTGGACGAGGCCGACACCGTGCATCCACCCTACGGCGCGACACAGCTCGCACCACATGCGCTGGAGGACGCTCTCTCGGAGCCGCGTCCATGCGGCGTCAGTGTTCACGAGCGCGAGGAGATCGCCGCCGGGAGGTAGGGGAGGACCAGGACATGGTGGGTTGGTGTTGATAGGTGCGTGAGGAGTGGTGTGATGTTCGGGTGGAGATGTGCTGTGGGGGTACGAATTAGTCTTGGTATATGCGGGGTCAGAGGGTAGATGAGTGAAGGGGGAAAGGATGAGTATATGGATGGGACGAATGCTTGTGTGGCCAGCACGGGAAGAGAAGAGCACAGATGTAGACGACCCCTGAACCGAAGAGGTGACATAACACTCGATTTGTAGGCACCGAGGCAGGGTCCTTTTGATCTATTATAAGACTCGCCCAGGACACGCCGCAGCCCACTCTCAAGCGACGCTACGACTTCTTGCACCCCGTAAATGCCGTGCAAATTGTGCAAATTGTGAAGCCAAGGAAAGATGCAGGAACATCCCGGAATAAAAAAAGGAAATGAAAAACCAACTCACACGAAGCACCTCGACCTCTCTGACAAAGGCCACACGCGTGCGCTCCTTCTCTCTCTCCTCGTCTTCGCCTCTCGTCGTACCGGCCCCACCACGCACAGTCATCTTCACTGCGACGAGGGCGGCCCTTCGTGCTGCTGCTTCTGCTCAACCCACCGCTTGCCGCTGGCGGGGACGACGGTTCCGTGATCGATATCCTCAATGACCGACCCTTCGCCGAACTTGAGGACGAGGTTATGGATGAGGACGTGGAGGTAGAGGACGTGGAGGTAGAGGACGTTGAGGACGTGCGGGAGAGGCTCGAAGGTATGTGTTCAGATGCGTCTATGCTGGCGGAGTCTAGGCTACGTATGGGGCTAGTACCGGGGACGCGAGCACGGAGCTTATGAAGCGAACCTGTACGCGACAGTGACGGTCTACTTGAGGGAGCATTGGAGGATCTAGCGGAGGAGGGAGATTTGAGCGAAGCTTGGCGGCGAAGGTCCCGGAGGCTGCGGCGGGATCGGAGGACGAGTGGCACAGGTGAAAGATCGTCAGCGAGCCAGACGCTGGAGAATGCGCCGTGGCCGAGCGGCTTATGGAGCCTAAGACTGGTGTTTTTCGCGGCGGGTGGCAAGGAAGGCGAGAGAGGACAGAAGGTCGCGGAGGTGGGTGAGCACTGTGCAGGTATCTGCCGCTCTGAAGAGATTATGGAGCCGGCCGAGGGCTCATCGGGATCGCGCGACAGCCAGAGGGTCGATAATCAGGCTCTAGGTCTTTGGGGCGTGGCGTTGGCTCGCTAGTCAAATCTAATTCGACTATGGACTACGTGGTGGGTGTTGATATTGTCGGCGTCGCAATGTCTATAGCCGGAACCGCAAAAAAGCTATAGGTCTTGGTCGACGGCGGTGAGGGTGCACACGTGGGTGACGGCGGACGCGTGGAGAAGGGCGACGCGAAGAATGCGTGGGTCTTCGCACTGGAATGTGGTGGGGACCGGCAGTGAGGACACCGAGATGTCCGAGAATGTCGAGGACGACGAGGAGCTCAGGAACGAGAGGCGCGACTGGGACGAACCCGAGTGTGACGAGGATATCGACGACGGCGGCGAGGGATGCAAGGCGACTTGCATTGTGGCCGTCGACAAACTACAGCGTTCGACCACCTCGGACTCCACTTTGTGATTTTGCGATCAAATCTCCGGAACTCAGGCATCACGTGATGTACGATTACACCGGTCCGGGGCTTTTCCCCCAATCTTTCCCCTCTCTTTGTCCGCGCCTCCGACGTGAGCTCCGTCCGCTGCCCATATGGAGCCCCACTGTCGACGTGGCACACTAATCTCTGCCATTCCGCACGTAAAGCCGACCTCACCCGCAAGGAACGAACCTCCATCTGAATCATGCATGCATGGTGTCAGTCACCTGTTAACAAATGACCCAGACCTCAAAACCCCGTCATGATTGAAACTTGGTAACGATACGGCTCTCTGCTTGGATCAGCGCCACTATGGCGGCCAGAGTGCTGCCGACCTCCGCCGGACATCTCGTCCCACACGTTGCCTGTCGACGTCATAATGCTTCCCTGAGCACTGCCAGGGACCGTTATTATTATTCGCATGCACTCCATCATCAATTTATCATACTCTGGCAGTACCGTTCCTCCCTCCTGCTCATCCAGTTTCTCCCAATCATCGTGTTGTGCGTATGAACCTGTTGCAGGTCAAACTCTCACCCATTGGAATCATCCTCACGGTACCCGCGGCTTTTGTGTATCCAGCGGATCCACGAACAAATTTCAGGGTAACTGTCGGCTAGCCTACCTCCAGGGTAATTGATCTCAAGTAGCCGGCCTTCCCCACACCCTCCACAGCTGAGCGCTGAACCTCCGACCAACATCCGGCATTCACGCGAGAGGGATTATTACTGCTTTCACCTCCATGAGTCCCATTCCGTGTGCAAAGAACACCGCGGATCAATGATCATACTAATAGCACCTACTCTGACAGATTTCAAGTAGTCAGATTCATCAGGCTGGCTTTTATTTGTCATATAGTGCAAAGGTTGCTTGAACTTTCATCGTCTTTGCTAGTATATCGGTTAGTACACGCGCCTGTCATCTATGTACTAGACTACGGATACGCGCGAAAGCTGGGTTCGACTCCCAGGCAGAGAGTTCTTTTTTTCGCATTATGAAGTGGACACACTTGAGTTTTGAACAATCCGCCCGCCCTCTCGACTACCAAGTCCTAAGATCGGCAGCACCTGAGCAGCATTTTATCAAGTAATTGGAATGCATGGGCAGACACTGGTATGTAGTCATGGGTTCAAGAAAAACGTAACGGTAGTGGTGCAGTGGCAGCTGGGTGGCAGGTCCATGACAAGATCAAACTCCTAGGGCGCAGACGATAGATGATAGACAAGCTCTAATCATGCCTCACAAAGACTCGCCGATGAACCCAATGCACCCACACCCGCTGTGATAATTCTGACATTCTTCTGGGTAGCGCTTTATGTTCGGATGCAGTGCCGCGACATACCTATTCTAGTTGGGAGGTCACCGTGAGAACAAAATATTCTGTGCTTTTTACCTGGATCTCCTGCCTCACTTCATAAGCTTCAAGGACGAGGACCAGCAGTTGCGAGCCCCACTGTAGACTGCGACGCCGTTGCTAATGACATCCCTCTACTAGTACCTAGTCGTTGGCAGCTGCCGGTTACAATCAGCTTCAGGGATGGTGCTAACCAATCCTAGCACACGTGGAGAACGGTTGGTCAATTTGGGGCAACGGCAGGGCCGGAAACAGGAGGCATTCCCAAGGGCCCCTTCGAAGCAGATTGAACTTCGACCTTACTAAGGGGACCATATATGCTGCCTCCCAGCCTTTCTGCGCATCCGTCGTCCACTGCCCAGGCGAATCTTACCCCTATGGCCTGTGACACTCTAATCACGCTACCGCTGGAACTGACAACGAAGATAATGGAGGAATTAGACTGGTATTCTTTAATGAAGATCCGTCAGGTAAAACCGCTCTATCTTCGCTTCCATTCCCCCCTCACTCAGTCTTTTAGACATGCAAATACCTATACATCGTTTCCAAATCACTGTCTATCTGGCGCAGCCAACTGCGCCAATATCGTTCCCAGCACAAGTATTCGCCTCGCCTGGAATCGCCCTTGGAAGTGTATTCCGCGTCTGACCTGGAACATTGGGTGACACAGCGAATAAGTGCTGATGCTGGATGGAAATCGAACAACACGAAACCCACTCGAACTCGTTACATAAGAGACCACACGGCATCGGGGGTGTGTCTCGTGCCAGGAGGCCGTTGGCTCCTTGTTGGGAAGTGACGATGGATCGGTAACGGTCTACGATCTGGATTCGTCCAATCTCGATGGGAGACTGTTACTTATGCTCCCGGACCGCCGGGAAATAAACCACATCTGCATCGACATTGATGAACGCTCTCCAAATCTTGCGTTTACGATGGCTGTCTCGCCAGCTTGGCAAGATCGTAAGGCTTCTTTTCCCTCGTCAGGCTCTTTTGTTTGCTAAGTTGACTCCTAGCTGACTCTGAATCCTTCCTCTCCATCCATATATGGGCTGTTACTCTAGTTGGCCACGGGGAACAGGCGTACCTAAATGCTAGCCCTCTTCGATCATTTCGAGCTCACGTTACTGGTGAAGTCGCCGACCTTACTCTGCATGGGCAGCTCGTTGGCCGACTCATGTGGTCATCAGAGCTCATCTCTTCTATCGAAGTTTTTGATTGGACCAAAACAACATCATCCTTGCCTTGCAAAGCGGTCATTTTATATGGACACTACCTAGTACGTTATCATAATATTCTCATCTACCCACTACTCACTCTAAGCAGGACTGTATACGGTTACTTCCAGGCAACAGACTACTCGCCTTCTCTGACAGTGACACTACCTTCATGATCTATGACGTCATTCCAGTTGTTTGCGAGGAACAACTCCTTGTCACCGCCGCAACGCACGCGACCGAACCATCATGGCGGCTCCCATGTCCTCCCAAGAACCGCACACGTCACGGCGGATTATCTGCAGCTTTCATCGACGTGAATGCAACACATTTTGCATTCTTTGCAGGGAGCGCAGTCCACGGCCTCGTCATCCCGCACAACGTCCAACAGCCACCTCAGACTTTTGAGCTGGCACGGTTCTCAGGTCCACGGTTCCCGGATCTGGCTCTAGGATTTGAGAAGATGTTTGCTCATCATCACCGTGACTCGGCCCTTAGGCTCGGCTTTGCGTGGAAGGATGATAGGAAAGGGACAAATCCTGACTATACTGTCAAGGCTCGCGAATACTCTCGCGATTGGAATGTTGTGTGGCCCCCCATTTTAGATGAAGGGTCCGGGCGCATCGTGCAGTCCTTGATAAATGGAGTCCTTGTCATGGATACTGCACTATCCTCCGTGAAGCTTGTCGAACCCTAGACATCTTTACGATACCGTATGAAGGTCGGATCTCGATCTCTTTCACCGTTCCCCCAAGTCCTTCATAGTACCATGTATATCTATATCTATCTCAGTCTATGCATCCAACCAGGTTTTTCACGCCGATCGACGCGCCCATGTCAGCCTATTGTGGTCAGTACCAAGTGTGAAGGCTTGTGCAGCAGTGTCAATACCGGACCGGTAGCGAGAGCAGTTCACTTGTCGCTAGGGAACGAAGATCGCTTCGTGTAGTAGGATCACTTCCTGATGCGTCTGCCTCGTCTATATTCTATATTGCAATATTCTCGGCGAATGACTAGACGATATTTTCATGGAATCTAGAATGTATTGTGACTCCATGGCAAGTCTTACAAAATATCCTACAATCAAATATATATGTTGTGGTGTCTATCAAACAAGCGGCCGTGAGTTGTCGCACCGAATGTTCGTTCACCTGAGGAGATTAAATCTGCAACGACACACTTCACGGTTTTTGGAACATGTTCATCGAGCTTCTTGTAGATCTCGGCGGTCAACACCATGTCTTCGTAATATCCGAGCCAGAGTATTCGGATTGTTTTGAGCTGAGCACTGAATGGTGCGTTACTTAGAAGCCGTGTGAAAGCACGCCAGTCGAAGGTGTCGAGGGAGACGATTTCTCCATGATCATCGCTGTAAACGTGTAGAGTGATTGTATCGACGTGTGGCGAGGTGACCCGTGCCAGGAGGTCATTCACCCATCCCCCAATAGAGAAAACAATTGTCGTGGAACCACAGCGCGCGGAGGTTGACGTTCTCTGACAGGTCTATAGTGTCTAATAGTAGAAGGGACACGCACTTCAACGATAATCAGGGGCGCAGGACAGGGAAGGCTACGCACTCTGTTGGTCCTCATACAAATCGAGTTCGCGCAGGTTCGGACCAAACGCGCGATAGACCTGACCAAGATCGAGGGACGGCTGCGGGAAATCAAACGTGACGCGCCGACTGTTGGGTAGCCTCAGGTCTAGGCGGGCAATGGACAGTACATCATGCGCAAGGAGCCACCAAATGAGGTCGACACTTTGCCCACCGAGAATCAACGAACGTAACGAGGGAAGCAGCGCTTCACCCAACTCTTCGTCGTCTTCCACAATCGGGAGACTTGGGTCGGCCCAAATTACGCCATTAGCCAAGCTGAGGTGCCGTAGAACTTTGAACTCATGCAACCCTAACAAGAACTCCGCCAATGAATCAAGCTTTATGGAATATAATGCGAGCTCAAGGAGTTGGTGGGTATAGCATCGCGTCCATGAGAGCAAATCCTTGACAAGAACCAGGTACGACGCCGATAGCAGTAGAGATTCAACTGCGGGGAGGGGATCACCGATGATGAAACGATCTGGCCGCACGACGTTGCCGGCGCGCAGCGCGAGGCGACGGACAGACCCGCCCAAGGCGGAATATGGTGCGTTGAGAAGGCTGTGCACCGCAGCTGCATTCTGTCGGCGGATCTCGAGAGTTGAGAGGAGGTGATGCCGGCTTGCACGTAGCCAAGCACGGCAGACAGTGCTACATACTGCTAGAGCTGATGGATCTGCGTGAAGGTGGTCGATAACACGATCGTGGAGTTCGCCTGGGATACGATCGACCAGAGTAGGAGGAAGGGATGAAGTTGAAGACGCCTGCATCAGATGCGGCTCCTGCGATACTAGGCCTGCTGGGGATGACATTTCGTCTCTTAGGTGGTAGCGGCCTTGGGGGTTTATCTGGTAGATAAGTAAGGGATACCGATGAAGGCTATATCTTGTTTCGATGCTGTTTTGAGGTTGAACTCAAACCAAACGAACCTAGGAGCAGGTATCCAGCTCCGGCATAGGAGTGCACAAGCAGCTAAGGAGGATTTATCGGCATGACTGATGATTCGATCGTGGGATTCCATTGCTTTCCGTTGGTATGCAGTCTCTTAACTATCTAGGAAGTTTTCTACAAGATGAAGGAGATCCAGGCAAGTCGGATTCTGGGAGGCTCGAGGATAGCGGATAGTCGATGCGCATGATGAATTCGGCGGTGGGCCAAGTTGAAGTTCAATCTACTTGTCGAGTCCGCGAGTGGCGGTGCTGGTGTCAACGACTGATAAACAACTTCTCTTGCTTGCCCATCACCCGCGACTCAGCGGGTCTCATATCACGCGACAGCTCCAGTGGCACGCGAACTTTGACGCGCACGACGTGTGTCTAGAACTCCTGATCGTCGAAATATGCCTACATCCCCAAATCCCCGCGAGGATTCCGGAAAGGGACACACCCTTCGCCAGAACGTCTTGGCGTGTTTAACCAAGCTCTCACATGGAGCAACGCCGTTTATCACGACCTTCATCCTTATCCATCTCACTGCACCAGCAATGGCGAATCTTGGAGGTGCTTCCTTGTCATCACAGACAATGGTATGTCTAATTATTTGCAAGAGCAGCCCCATTTGACCGAGTCTCCAGCTGCTTGGGAGAGAGTACTACCAGACCGATTTTGGTGAAAAATACCTTGTCCTAGGACCTCTAGCTGCCCACGCCATCGCGGGGATCGCCAAACGGCTCATATCCCCTCGAAAATCACCTCCACGCCCGCTCTCGACCCTCCTGAGTTGGACAGGTTATTCCGCATTTCTCTTCTTCCTCCCCATCCACTTCATGACGCACCGCGTTCACCCGACTACGATCACCTCACCAATCTCG